AGAGAAAGAAAAAAGCAGAAAATAAATCTAGTGGTACAGTGAATTTATCTAGTAACTTTTCTAGAAAGAAAAACTTTTGCTTGAAGTGTTGTCACATGGATGTTGATAAGATGCCCATGGAGTCAGTTAATGCTCTGGGAGTGCTCATCAGCCATCTGTTCAGTGACTTCCAAGCATCCTGGAAGGAGAAAGGTCTGTTCAGTGCTTAAGACAGCTTTGCTCAGGAAGCCATATGCAACAAGGATATTAAAGCACAAAAAAACTCCCAAGAAGCCCAGTGAAAGCTAGTGGGCTTTCACCTATTAAAAGTGAAAGTGTGACAAGTGATGTGGAGGGATGTTGACTTACCCTGAACGTTGCTTTAGATTAAAAGTCTTTGTGTTGGATGCTGTTGAGTTCCTCCCTGCAGCACACGCCGTCACTGCAGAAATCAAACTGTTCCCAGGCTTCAGTTTAATTATCCATACACATCTGCCACGGAGGTGAACATTGTTAAAAGTCCTGTGACATAGCAATAGCTGTGTGAGTTACTTATGATTCTACAAGGTGTGAAGAACTTCTCTGAGAAACAATGCAAAATAGTGAGAATAATGAAGATGAAAATGGAGCAAAAACATGGGAACAGGCGAATAACTAAGGGCTGGTTTTGTACTACTGACATTACGGATTTTGCAAAAAACCTGAAAAGGAAACTAATCAGAGCTCTGTCTTGCAAATGCTCTAAGTCCTGCCTGATAAGCTGCTTTTAGAAAAATAAACTTTTCAACAGTAAATCCTTGCTGAAGTGTAAGGCACATGATATCTGTAAGAATATTTTACAACAAAAGCATACTTAAATTTGGCTATAAGAGGAAATAGATACAATGAGTGTGATGTGATTTGTCTTTTGTTACAGGATATCTTCATCAAAAAGGAGAAGTACAGTAAACTGAAGCTGGAATTTACCTTGATCTGAAAAAAAAAAAAAAAAAGAAAAAAGTTTTTTCTTCCTGCTACATTTGAACCCAAAATCTGTTTTCAGTTCACAGTGTTTTTTAGTTAAGTTACAACATAGAAACCATCACAGCTCTGATTTCCAGGGAAGCTCATTTTGGAAGGTGGTAAATACAACTTAAAAAGCAATCTCAAAAATAATTTTTGTAACACTGCTTTATGAGAAAATGTAAATCTGATTTTTAGAAGACATGTGGTTGTTATTGTACCTCAGCTTATTTTTTTGAAATTAAGCAATTAAAATGTTCATATGTGTTGGCCACCAGCTGCTGTACCTTATTACAGTTTAAATAGCCAACCTGGAATAGGAAATCATTATATTCTCAAAACTACTTTTGCAAAAGCATATGAGGTTACGTATTTTTATTGTTGCATGCTTCTACATGTTACTACAGTATTTTCCTGCTAGCACCTGTCTGAATGGTGGTGGCTTTTTTAACAAAAGCCAGCAACCCAACTGTCTTTTCCGAAAATGATGCAGACATGCACTGGCTGTACAAGGAGTGTACAAGGAGTGTTAATAAAAAAGATACAGGATTCTTCAAGAAATGGGCTGCAGCTTGTGTGGTGAGGTTACCATGAGGAGGGGTGGCTGTCAGGCACATGGGTGAGCCAAAAGCCATTCATGGTAAGAAAAGGCTCATGAAGTATTTTTAGGTGGATCTAAGTGGACTTTTGTTATTTTAAATTTTAAAAGTGTGTGGATATGGAGGTGAGGGGTGTTCATATGTAAATGTATATAATATTTTCAGCTACTCAAGCTTTTATGAAGACATCACAAGTTGGACAGCAGGGGACTGGGAGTCTGGGGAGGGAGAAGCAGAAACCTGGAAGAGGAATGAGGTTGTAAGAGCTTATCCAGTATATATTTCTCATTGGATGTGAGTGGATCAGAAGGCTGGGCAGTATTAGTATTGTATTAGTATTCAAAAGAAATTGAAAGCTGCATTTTTTGGAGAACAAATTTCAGCCCTGTTGATAAATCAGTATCTGTATATGAACTGATGCCAGTCTGCTGGCAGCTGTCATTCAGGTGGGATCCTGTTCTCCCTGATGGGGAATGCTCACATGGCATGTGATGAGCACCAGAAAGTCAAAGGAAAATGTGGTGTGAAGTGAGGTCAAACTAAATGAAAGTCCACTTCTCATTGCCTGCTGTAGATGTGGCTGCAGACAGCCAACACCACTGAGTGGACACTGAATATGCATTATTAAGGTCTATTCTGGTGAGATTTAAGCCTCAGTTTTCTACATGTAGAGGATTTGCTCCTGTACTCATGCAGAGTACTATTTAAAAGTGAAAATTAGAAGGAGGGGTGCAGTATGCCTAAGAAAGTGCATTTGGCTTTTACGTCTCTTCATCTGAAGATTCTTTTACTCTTGCAGTGTGCTACATATACAATATTCTCTTGAACTCTTGAATTTGCAGCAATTGTTGCATGTGTTTAAATACTGGTGATAATGCTGGATGTTTGACGCACAACAATTATCCATAATCAGTCTCATATTGAATAACTGATACTGCCATATATTCTATAAAAGTCAGTTTTGTTTAGGTTGGGAAAAGGATGTTTAGTTCAGCTGTGAGTGTAGAGCTTATGTGAGACAATATTAAAATTGTCAAGAAACATGTAAAAGATGTAATGTGAAGTTCCTTTATGGAACTAGGCCTTCACCCCTTTAGCCTAGCACCTAATCTTTGACAGAGGTGAGAGATTATCTCGTTTTACATGAGGTCAAGGTCTAACAGATGAAATTAAATCAGAAGAATGGATTTTACTATTAGGCCAAGGTTTGTTACCTTTAGAGATTGTTGCTTCTATAGCATCCTTTTGTACACATATGGATCTCCAATTTTTTTTTTTTTTTTAGTTTTCCTTTGGATCTTTTACTTCTCTGGCATCCTATATCTGTTAGTTTTCTTAACATAATTTCATGCTGTGCGAATAAATATTGCCTTTTTTTTTTTTTTGAGTGTAGATGTTGTCATTTGTATGTTGCAGTCTGTGCCCATAACCTCCAAGCTAAATATAAGTTTATATTCTCTTTGTTTAAATGAATAATAGGATTTTTTTTTAAATTGAAGGGCTTTAGAAAAAATCTTGACTTGATGTATATGTCATTTTTTTATTTGATTTTTAAACACTTACTATATTTTTAATTGATAGTAAAATTTTTATCATATCTCCAGCATAACTTATTTTTAGGTGGAGACAGTAAATAAATAGGGAAAAAAGACCTTTCAGTTTAATCAGGAGTAATTTTTCATTACAGTAAATTATGGGAGGTGCACCAGTATCAATGGGTAAGGAGTGTTACCTCTACCAATATTTTCTGAACAAGAAATCAGGGTAACAAGTGGATGTGAGAAGGTTTCTAGTCTTATCTTTAGCTCAGAGCAGAGCTTCTTATTTTTCACTCTCATTAACAGTACAGAAGCATAGTGGGTAATAAAAAGGTAGCCATCTGCCATCCAATAAGTTATTTAATAAGTTTCTGCCACAGAATCTTTAATACTGAAAGTGATGTACAAGCCAGATCTATCAAGGATAGCTGTTATCCCAGCTTGAGTTTACAGATGGAAAGAAATCTGTCCACTTGTTAATAAAGCAGTTTTTATCCAGGCACTGTAGAGTCAGTAAACGTAAACCTTTCCAAGATTACTTTTTTCAATAGACCTTTTTTTTAAAAAAAAAGCACATTAGCATTACTAAATAGCCAGTGTTTTACTACAAATGGCTCAAGTGCTTTTACACTGCAAGATACTTCAGTCAAAATTAATTATCAGGGCAGAAAAGATTACCCCATTATCACAGAATTCTACAAATCTTAAATCTATGTGCAAATAAAATTCCTGTTGTGATTTTTCTGTAGAAAGATACCATGCTAATGCTCTCATAATTTTAATTTTCTTTTTAGACTCACTTTAAATAAAGAAATAATGAAGTCAGTACTGCTCTTTCACCTGAATTCATTTTTTGAATGAAAGAGCAGCCCTCCTATTAGAATATCACTTTAAGCGCCACTTCTGTTTCCAACAAAACAAATGAACTCTTTGTTATTAGCTTTTAATCTTACCTAGGAAGGTCCACGGACTTTTTTTTTTACCTGCTATTAAACTGAGAATGAGTTTTTTGATGAAAACTATGTTGAAAGCTGGTATTTTAAAAAACATGAGCCAATACCCTTTGTAAGGCTTTTTTTAATGTAATACTTTATAAAGATTTTTAACATTGTACTGCATAAGATAGGTTTCAATGAGTGTTTTCAATGAGTGTTTCAAACCATTTCCTTTTATGAAAAAGACATACCTGGAGTTTTAAACATTTGTAAGCTACAAGAGTTCAAATTTAAGAAAGTCACTGAAGCAAATTATCAGTCAGTTAATGACTAAGGAAAAGGAGATTCCTACTTGTGTAAAAGAGGTAGTCGTGCATGACTTCTTGCTAACTAAGACCAAAACCAGGACAGTATCAAAATAAGCAATCCTCTCAAGACTTGGCCACCTTATCTAGACTAATGAAACCATTATTTTTCTTCAGGCTTTTCTTCTAAAAAAATCTCTTGTATTATTAGGTTTTGTTGATGGGATGTTCTGAATGCTTCTTCCTAAAGGTGCGACTGCATTTGACACATCAATACCAGGTCATTTGGTGTCTTATCCAATGTCCACCAAGACATTTGGAAGTCCTTTTGATTAGTTCTTTTAATTTCAACCTAATCCCATGCTGTTTGTAAAGTATGGCAATGATCTCAATAGCTCCACTTGCTTATATATATGTATATGTATGTGTATATATATATATATATATGTATATCTATTTCTATCTATTTTTTCTTAGAAATTATCCCTCGTGTTTTGTGTTTTCACCCCTTGTGTGTAGAGAATTTTCATATCTATCAATATTATCTGCAGACCTGAATGAGAATGGGAGCATAGACACCACTTAGCCTCCATTCTTTATGCACCAGAAAAAGCTGCTAACTTTATCTTTTGTTTATTTCAGGTTTCTTTTCTCCATGGAAAACTCCAAAGCCTGTAAGTTCCCTTTCAAAATTGTACACATTGAGTTCATAAGGTGGCTATCATGCAAAGCAAATTTCTGCAGACTTTCATCTACCCATCCAGTTCCCAGCTCATGGGACACCTCTCAGCAGTGCCCCAGCTCCAAGTGACACAGCACCAGGGGTGGCCTCCCTGATAAGCTCTGAAGGTCTGTTGACTTGGAGTCTGCCAGAAGTGGTCTGGGAAAAGGAAAACCCTCATGTTAAGATGGGTGGCAAGAACCAGAAATGTGGTGGCTTAAAAATAAGAGGTGGAGAAAAATGGAGGAGAAGGCAGCAGAAATTAGTCCAGTCTAGGCTTCTAGCTGGCAAATTCTTTGAAATTAACAACATGCACTTTTTCTGGTTTACAAGCGGCTTGAGTTTAACACCATCAAAGAGATTGTTACTCTTTCTTGCATTAGGAGAGCTAGAGCTGCAATAGTCACACTTCAAATAAAAGCTTGGGCTAGATAACTGACTGAGGTGCCTTTTAATCAACTTTTCTGTGTTTCTATGATTTTGACAGTAAAACCCAAGGAGTAAAGGCTTCCTACTGTAAGACTGTAAGCAATGACTGTGTTTATTCTGCTGACACCACATAATATAATTTTTTGAATTTGTGACAGCACTCACAGTATAAAAAGAATTTGTAAGCTACTATTTTTGGTTGTCTGGTTTGTCTTATTGTTGTAGAGGGTTTTGGTTTTTTGTTTTGGGTTTGCTTTTTTCTTTTTTAATTTGGCTTTTTAATTGAGATTTTACAGACCTTAGAGCAATTTTTAATTCTCCACAAGGATGTGTAGAGACAATAGATCCTGAAGACTCCTAAGAGCAATGGGAATGAAAATAGCAATACCTTTTAAAGGACTTAGAGCCTTCTTAATGGGGAGCAGGCAGGGGAAGTACCTTAAATCTGAACACCTTTACATACTCTCATGTGAGAACATGGCATGTTTAAATTTTGCCAAAATAGTTTTTGTACGCTATCAAGTACAAATAGCAATTAATCAGCTGATGCAACTTCGTCAGATTGCTTCAGCTTGTGGTGGTTTTGCTGTAAAAGGATAGAGTCTGTATACAATAAATTGGAATAAATATTGCATTAGTTGCTTTATTCATCTATGTAGCAGGACATTTTTGAAAATAAATCCAATTATTAAAGGCTGGCTTGCTCTCACCAGTTTCAGACTCCTGAATGGCTGGGATGTTCAATTTTAATCTCAGATAAAAAGTGAGGAAATATACATCTTGATGCTCTCTTGTTAAAGATCCACATTTGAAGACCTCCTCCTGCCCATACTTAGCCTTTTTATGTACATATCAAATATATAAATATCAGTGTATTTATTGTTGATGATTTTCTGCAACATTTCATTGTATAGACACTATGGTAGTTCATGCTCAAGTAGCACTTGCCAATAATCAGGATCTAGAAAAACAGCCTGAGTTGATGCAGTTTTTCATGCAATGATGTGAGGAAAACCAGGGCTCACAGAATAATATAACACCACTGTGTGCTGTACCTGCAGGCAGACTGACTGCTCACAGCTACTCTATTTTGTGGTAATCTCAGCAAGAGATTTCACTAATGATTAACCGAGTTAAGGCGGTGTGAATTCCTCTGTCTGGCACCACTTTTAACTAGAGAAACAGTCAGACATCAATTTCTCGTGTCCAAGGCCTGAAGACAAGATTGAAACCAAGCGCCTGCTGCACTGTGTGCAGACAGTCTGAAGCAGTAAGGCCAGCACAGGAGGTTCAGAAAGCCTCCCCAACACCTCAGCACAGCCTGTGTCTGTGTCACAGCAAAGGAAAACAAAGTAAGCTGGGATAACAGATATTTCCAGTGATTCCTGCATATATTGCACATATCTTATATGTGTATATCATGTATAATATCAGTGCAAACTGACCATGAGCAGTGTCACCACACCATTGCCCCAGTTTGGAGTTGATGCCCTGCACTCACTACTGTCCTCACTCAAGAATGCCTTCTTTTCTGGAGTAGTATTATGATAACTCCCATTACTGAATGCTAGGTGACTGATTCATTAGTTGATATGGGTTTGAGAGATATAATTCCCCTTCTGTTTATCTGCTTATTTAGCTGGTTGAACTTCCAACTTGAAGATTTAGAGCTAACCAGCAAGCAAGAGTTAGACATATGGGACCCAGTAGGGTTTTGCCAATTGATCTCCAGTTTCCTGTCCTTTCTCCAGGGTAAAGTTTGCTCATCAAAGATAATTATATTTTCCTTTCTTTTTTTAAATCTTTCTTTTAAGTATTTTAATTTTGTCCAGTTTCGCATTTTGAAAGAGGTAAGTGATCTATTTCCCCAGCACTTTCCAAGAAATTAGTAATCTTTCACTTCTAAGACAGACATTGCCCTGTATGTCTTTCGTCTGCATAATGATAAGATAGTTTGGTTTCACTGGCTTGTGTTCTTTTAGATTCCTAAGGGAAGGTAAAGCCTATACATATTTTTCTGGTAATTTCCTTTATCATAAGGAGCTTGAATCGAGTTTAGTTCATCTTTCCTCTTTAGACATAGGGGTCATAATCAGGTGTGTTTCTAGAGACCTTTGAATTTACAATTTTATAATGTAATTATATACTGTGTATGTGTTTATAGCTACTCGAGGTAATTTCTTTAGGGCTCAGAAGTAGTACTGTGCTATTCATGTGACTTACACAGGCTAATTTACCCAAAGGGCAATTATTTACAGAGGAAAAATTTATCTTGGTGTAAGGGCTACCTGAAGGTACACAAGGTAAATTCCTAAGCTATTTCAACGGCAACGCAGGTATTTCTATGTGCCACTGTATTGCACAGAACGTACATACTCATAGTTTTGAATGAACCAGCCTTACTTATTGCTGAAATTCTGACAGAAACACATCTTGAGTTATAATAATACTTTGTAAAATAATTAGGTCCTAAACAACTGAAAATGGCCAAGATCTATAATCCATTTGTTCTTAAGTGTGAGCCTAAGAAGGTCAGATCACCTGGGATATGCAGCAGGATAGTTATTCAGCATATTTACCAGGAGGACACTAAAATATCTATAGTCCACACATACTTGTTATGAAAAAAGCCTGATGCAGTTAATCATCAGAACAGACTAAAGCCTACCTGCTGACCCAAACACCTTCTGGAACCAAGGAACTAAAAACAAATGATAGTCACAGAATTTATAGAGCAAGCCTACTGTAAACCTGCAATCATCTTTCATAAAGCTTTGCTAATACAACAATAGAAGTCAGTGGAATTTGATTACAGATCAGTTTGTTTCCAAGAGGCATTTTTTGTGTAATTACCATTGTTGGGTTATGTGTGAGAACACACTGCTCTGGAGCCTTTACCACCCTTGTCCTCAGGAGGGGTTATAGGAATAGCTAAGTACTCATTTCCTGGGATAAACATTTGTGTTTTGTTTAATTTAGCCTCTTCAAAGAAATTTGCTAATGCAATTTGATTAGTAGCCAACTTCTTCAAGAAATAAAAAAGCAGATCCTCAAGCCTTCTTTTGCACAGCCTATCATATCTTCAAGCTTGATGTACATGTAAGACTGTTAAAGACAGTCTTGAAAAAAGTGTGAACTGAGGTGTCTTTCATGCATAGACAATAAGCTGTTGTAGGCTTTCCTGTAAATGGCCTGGAAGAGTTGAAAGCCTTATCCTGTGCTTGGTTATATAATGCCACTTTAGTGGGTTTTTGAACACTAGATGCCTGAGTACATGCTGTAATTATTTTCTCTTCAGTTTTGATTTGTTTAGATTTTCTTTTGGTTTTGACTTTGGTTTTTAAAATTTTCAGTTGGAATTGTAAATTCTGGTCCCATTTACAATTATCTCCCTCTCCCTGGGCAGCTAGTTATTTTTATGTATTCTCAGAAGATACAGCATTAAGGTCATTCACTGGCTACACAGTCTGTCCCTTCTTTGCTAAGCATTACCTTCATGTATGTTATGTATTTTGATAAATCTCACAATTGTGTCTTTACAAACTCGCAGATTCCACCTTTAGCAAATCATTTCCAATAGCTCAGCACATTCTGTGAGAGGCATTCCACATGCTTCAGACCTTTCATTTCAAAGGGCAGCAAACAGATTTACTAATTTTACAAAACACATCTTCAACAGAAATCACTGGCTTTGGTCTCATTGTGAAAGCGGCAGTTTTTGCAAAACTTCGTTTTTATTCTCTGTATGTTTTTATTCCAGATGATGGAACGATGGGAGAATCAAGGCAGCCCTCAAACAAGTGTGTCTGCTCCAGCTATGCCACAGAATATTCCCTATCCACCCACTCTTCACAGGAGTTCATTTCCTGATTCAACAGAGGCCTTTGATCCACGAAAACCTGACCCATATGAGCTGTATGAGAAATCAAGAGCTATTTATGAAAGTAGGCGTAAGTGAAATCTCTCTTGACCCTGCTGGCCATTTAGTATTTTAAATTTTGCCTTTTAATGCGTCACTGTAGACATGATTTTCTGTAATTATCTTTTGTAATTTGAAAATCTACATTTTTTTCCAGTAAATAGAGGCCATTGTAAATGTTTCAAAAATTGTACACTTACATATTTTTCTAGATCTCGCTTAGATTCTCATATTTGACTTTCATAGGTGATTTTTCCTCATATTTTTGATCTCCCCATTTTGACTGTTAAGTCCTTGGTGAAGCACAGTATATGTCCCACCACATTTTACTGTGGTTTTTTTTCTTCATAGTCAACCTATAGGAAGATGCGAATTTATCAATGAAAAAAAAGAGTTTCACCTACTTTCACTTCAAAGTGACATTTTTTTAAGAAATTTCAAATGTATTTTTTTATAAAAATGTCTTTGGCAAGTTTTCACATTGTCCTTGGTAGTTAGAAAGTAACCCATAGACTAAAGTACTATTTGAAGACCTATACAAAATAGTACTGAGCCATTGAGATGCTCATTTTGTTTTAATTTTTCATGATTTTGGAAATATAGCCCATATTTTTGACAGCAAGAATAAAAGGGCTTAGACTTATTTACTCTTTTTGTAAAGAACATTTTAGCTAAAAATATTGTTCTAAATTGTCTGCAGCCTTTGCACTTATCAAGATAAATTCTTAAAAATAGTTTACATTTTTACCAAATGCTTCCTCACCACTCCCATTACTTGCATATGCCACTTTTCAATAAATTTAGTAAAATACTTAAGCCTATAGACAAAAATATGCTATAAATTACAATAAAATTTTGGAGCTGATTCAGACCAGCCCATTAATATTAGTTGGGCCCAGAGGCCTGGAATGTTCACATTTCTTCAGCATGCAGAGGGATAGTCTGAAGGAAATACATTATTGTCCCCAACACTGGGTTCATACCATTCTTATTTGCCTTGCCTGTGCATTAGTTACAGCATCAGGATGATCTTTAAGGTCCCTTCCTCTTTGGCTTTGACATTCTCAGTCCCCACAAGAATGGATATGCTGGAGGAACACCAGTGTTCATTTCACATCAACTCCAAGTAAACCCTGATCTATTTTTGAAGCTGCATGTCATATTCCTCAGTTCTTTGCCACTGTGGCCAGTGCCACCATCTTCTGCCACACTGATCCTATTTGTGGAACACTTTTCAATATAGATTGTCACCCTAAACCTCACTTTCCATAATTTTTTTTTTTTGAGGGAGACAGTTGTTAGTTTTATTTAACTCTTTGTACTTAAATAAACTGCTGGCTTTTTGAGGAATACCAGGTATTTACTCACCCTAAATATGGATTTGAGATCTTACTTAGACCCTTGTAAAAAAAGTATTTAATCTTCAATTATAAACTATTAGGCATAGAAACGAAACTTTCCAGTATATTTACAAGCACCATGTAGTCCATGTTGGCTGGTATTCCCAAGACAATGTACAAAAAAGAGACTGTAATTTTTGAAATTTTAAAACTCATTGAAGTATGGCTGAGGATACCATGTGGAGTAGGCCAAATAGGTTTGAAAGAAGTGGGACTAGTTTTGAGCAAAGACTGGAAATAGTTTTCAGATATCTCCCCTCTTTCACTTTCTCTTGTGCATTAAGGGCTAGACTAATATATAAGTAAAAACATTTACTTGAACTGCAATGTTATTCCCCAAAGTGATAGAATTAGGCATATGATAAATCAAAAGGAAAAGAATCCATTCCATAGTTAGAAATTATTTTATGTAGTTCAGCTCCTCTACTGAAAAATACTTGGTTTTGTACAGAGCTGTAACAAACAGAAAACCCTTTACAAATAATCATTTCCCATATCAGTAGCTTTTAGAAGTGATGAAGTTTAACAAAAATCTTTCCACTCAACAGTCAGAACCATCTTCTGTAGTTGAAGTCATCAGGCCAAGAGTGCAGACTTCCTACATTAAAACAAATATCTCTGTGAGAAAATTAAGAAAATATTATAAATGCCATATGGATATATGACATATTTACTTATATGGCATTTTCTTTCATCCTGATCCCCAGTCTATGCTTGATCCATGTGTGCACTTCATAAAAGTGTGGGAATATAGATCTGATGTCAACTACAAAGATTCACTTACCCCCAGAAGATTATATGCTACATTACAAGATATATTACACCATTCAATATTCATGGGTGCTTTCTTCAAGTTTTCTGAGCACTTCTTTGACCAACATGAACTCTTATCTCTTACTTATGTGATCTACTGTGTTAAGGAGTAGATGCTTTACAATAGGAAGAGCATCTAACATGTGGGTTGGAGTTATGCTAAAGCCTGTGTTTTAATGGTATAGTTGCATTTGAGTTCTGTCCAAAAGGAAACTGGAAACTGTATGGAGATGTTTCCAGCCAGCTGCCTAGAAAACCAAATAATTAAAAATAGTGAAGCTTCTAGGCCCAAAACAAGAAAGTGAGAGATGAAAAGCAAGACTGCAGTAACCTTATCCTAGATTTCAGAGTCCCATCTTCCAGCTAATCTTGGAAACTTAAATTCCTTATCTGTTTCCTCCACTATCCCCTCAACATTTTCTCTAAGGTTTGATTCCACCAGTTTCCAACCAGATCTTGTCTGCATTCATTCATATCCCTTATTTATAAACAGCTACCTCCAAAGATCTCTATTCTCCCTGACATTTTTGTTTCATGAATGCCATGAGCACACATTTTAGCAAATTTAATTTGTCAAGCCTTAGCATCACATAGTTATCCTGTTTCCTGAAGATGGAAACAACTGGAAGGAAATCCATTACTGAGTCAAGTAATTGTCATCTAATTTGAGTATATAGAAGGGAGAGTTTCAAGACAACACTGTTTCCTACCATATGGCAGTGTCAGGTTGGTTATCTTTGGGAAGAACATACCCTAAAAGTACACAGGAAAAGTTCAGCTACTTGGTTTATATATAGAAGGGAGAGTTTCAAGACAACACTGTTTCTTACCATATGGCAGTGTCAGGTTTGTTATCTTTGGGAAGAACATACCCTATAAAAGTGCACAGGAAAAGTTCAGCTACTTGTTTTTTTAAGTACTTCTTATCTCAAAGCAAGTTTGTCTCATCTCCTGGCAAGACCTACTTTTCATCTTCATCTTCTAAAAATAGGGCAGAGAAGCGAACAATCATGACCTGGAAAATTCAAAAAGAAAGAGATTGTGCAAAATTTTTGTTTCTCTCATTGCGAGACTCTGTTACTAAACAGTTCATTTTTGTACTTCTATAGCTCTGAATTTCTATAGAGCCTTTATCACAGGGTTTCCCCATAGTCAGCACTCACCAGGGCCTCATAAAAGCTTCCTGCTTTCCAATCAGAGAGGGAGTGAAGCAAGTTATGAAAAACAGGGTAGTTCTGTGAGGAGCACAAGCAACATGACTCAAACAGAGCAAGAACTAGACCAATGTGTTACCTCTAGCTCATCCCTGCCTAATGATAGCAAGAAGAGGGTTGTAAACAGGAAGTCTCAATGAAAAAGTATGATTTTCACTCTACAGGAATGTTTTTCCACCTAAGGAACATGAAGACCCTGCAAGACCCTGTGTGATGGGAAGATTTCAGTTTGTAATGGTTACATATTCATTACAAAGCACTACCACTACTACTGCATGGGAAATAGTTTCACAGAGGCAATGAAATGATGCATTAGTACAAAAACAGAGTGCAACTCTATTTTGGAAGTCAGAGTACCTTTGAAAATTGTTTGCCATGAGTTAGCTGTTACCTGTCAGCTCTTCCCTCTTAGCTGTCACCAGCCTCTGCTGTCACCTCTCACTTATGCTCAAAGCTCCAAGTAGATGAAAAAGGAGCATGATGGGTTTCCAAACACTGAGGAGGACTACCACATCATCTAAAGCAACTGCTTAAATGCAAAAGATGGGAAATTGGTTTATGCTTTCTTTCTTTACTTTGTGTCTCTAGTTTTTGGGGTTTTTTGGTTTGGGTTTTGGGTGTTTTTTTCTCTTCCCCCATCTCTTCTTATTTCAGTGGCATGGTGAAGAATACCTACCTAACTTTCTGCTATGACATAATTTTCTCAACTGGATACTTTTCATTTTTTCTGTCCTACTATTAATTCAAAGCAAAACCTTTATCACCTTTCTCCTTACAAAAACTGTTATATTGTAAGTGACAGTGTGACTCTCCCCTTAACCAGTTTAGGTACAGGAGGTAGAAAATGGAACATGAGATCAGGAATTTCCTATTAATGAAAAAATTATGACTTCATATGCACCATATTATTACAGCTGTAAATGGAGCCCTGGAGGTATCATTAAGAGACGTTATTCACCTGAATTTTAAATTTTTGCTTTTATAAATTCTCCTTATCCTGTCTTATATTTTATATTGAACTCTGTTTATTGTAGTTTCACAGTTTATAAAAAACTTCATTCACACACCCCTGTAGGCAGACATTAGTCAACCAGGAGTCACAAAGCTGTTGGGAATCATAATTCCATAATATTTCTCTAGTTACAATAGAAATTTGAGGTTATATTCCTCTAGGGAAAGAGGTAAAATAAAACATTTTTTACATTGATTGGGTTACATTTGTCCTTCAGTTAGTGTGGTAGCCAAGGCTGGTGATGTGACACAGAAATGCCAGTAGGAAGAATGAGATAAGCCAGTGATAAGCTCTCATTAAAAATGAAATCTGAACAATTACAGTTCCACCTTTCGCTGGAAGGACAAAGGTTACTTTCTTCAAAATCTCCCACATTATTTTCTCCTCTGACCACAGTATTTTGAATTTCTTAAGTCCCTTTCAAATCTATCAGCTATTTTTTTGTCGCCAGAGATTTTAAAAAATTGGAAAATAACCAAAAAGCAAAGTTCACCAACACCTGTGAAATATGTAAATAACAAATGTATTTGCATAATTAGCCTCCACATAATAACGTGTATTCTTTGGCAGACCCTTTCTGTAAGGATCACAG